TATATATATTTAAATTCACTATAAATTTCAATCAAAATGAATTTATATTATTAATTAATTGTAAATCAAATTTGTATATATCTTATAACTTTTACAGAATTTGATTGTAGGAGAATAATTTTTTATAAAATTTTCTTGTTTGATTCAATTTTTAAAAGGAGAAGAAAACAATTTTTTTTTTCTAATTTTATTTTAACTCCTCTCCAATATTAAAAATTTTGAAAGAAAAAGGAAAGAAATTTAAATATTTTTTAGTGTAATATATAAAATATTCATATTTATATTTTTAATTTTAAAATTATAAAGACATAAAAGTAAATTAATTTTTAAAATCTTTCTGATTTCCTTCTGAACTAAACAAGAAAATCCCTCTTTCTCAAGATAAAATTTATAATTCTTCGTTTACCCTCCATTGAAATTCCTTTCATCACCAATTAGACTTTTAAATAAATCATTCTAATTTTTGTTACTATGGTTAATGTAAATATATATTTATGAACTTAAAAAAAATCACCTTCTGATTAATTGCAGTAATTAAAAAAGCATTCCATAAAATTTAATAAATACACTATCATATTATTTAAAATAAAATCTGCAAAGTTTCAATACTGTAAACGATCGATATATCATAATATATACTTGTTTTAATTACTTTAATTATTATTATTATTATTACAATTGCTACAATATGTATTTTATTAATTAAAAAAATAGTGACATTTTAACATAAAAAGAAATTGATCATATAAGATTTGTCTTTCTATGTATATATGTCGGTTGTAGGCTTAAAAACACAAGCAGTGTATGTGACTGAGAGTAAGAAATACGTGGCTGACACGAAAAAAATGTAATGGATTAGAATGAAGATGGGTATCCAATATCCATTGCTTAGTGAAAAGCGAGGTGGGAAGGGAAGAAATATCCTTAGAAGTTAACTTTTTTTACAAAAGCAATACACATGGATTTATTATTTAAAAAAGAAAAAAAAAAGAAATTGAGGCATGTAAAAAAAAAATAATAAAATTTGAAAAGCACGTTTGGAGAGTTAGACCCTTTCTCTCTCTCTCTCTCGATAGTCGATACTATAAATGCAAAGGCCAAGGGTGAGTCTATATATAGTTCGTAACGCTTCCCTCTCTCATTCATTCATTCATGCATTAACATTTCCATTTCCCGTTAAAACCCCACCACCCTCACCTCTCTTTCTTCTTCTTCTTCTTCTCTTTTCTCATACTACCAATTCACGTTGTTACTTGTTACCATGGTTGTTCTGTCTCAGCCAGCATTAGACCACTTTCTCCTCCTCCAACCATGCAAGCCCACGCCCCTCTTCACGGGGATTCCTGTGGTCGACCTCACCCACCCCGATGCCAAGACCCTCATAGTCAACGCTTGCAAAGACTACGGCTTCTTCAAGCTCGTCAACCACGGCGTTCCATTCGACCTCATGGCCAATCTGGAACACGAGACCCTCAAATTCTTCAAAAAACCTCAGTCCGACAAAGACAGAGCTGGCCCACCCGACCCTTTTGGCTACGGTAGCAAGAGGATTGGCCCAAACGGCGATGTCGGCTGGCTCGAATACCTCCTTCTCAACACCAACCCCGACGTCATCTCCCCCAGGTCCCTCTTCATTTTCAAAGAAAACCCACAAAACTTCAGGTAAAACAGAGTCCCCTGTTTTCCCCTGTTCCAAACTGTTTATCAACTATACAAACTTCCGCATTATACAAGCCTTATGCTTAATTTGTTTTAATTTTTTTACTTAACTTATCTTTTTGTTATTAGGATATAGTATCTATCATTTTTCAATGATTAGTTTCTATCGAGTATTTATCTATCAGTTTTTTTTATGACTATTTTCTGTCGAAAATCTTTCAGCTGTTCTTTTTTCTTAACTATTTTTTTAATTTTTTTCCATTATGATACTCCTCCACTCATTTGCTACACTTGTCTTAATCTAAAGGAAAGTAAAGAAGTTTTGACATGTGATTAATTTTCAGGGTGGCGGTGGAGGAGTATATAAGAGCGGTGAAGAACATGTGCTACGTGGTGTTGGAAATGATGGCTGAGGGGTTGGGATTGGGGGTGGCGCAGAGGAATGTGCTGAGCAGGTTGCTGGAGGATGAGAAGAGTGATTCTTGTTTCAGGCTCAACCATTACCCTCCATGTCCTGAAGTGCAAGCATTGAACGGAAGGAATTTGGTTGGGTTTGGGGAGCACACAGACCCACAGATAATTTCTGTCTTGAGATCTAACAGCACATCAGGCCTGCAAATCTGTCTCGCAGATGGCACTTGGGTTTCAGTCCCACCTGATCAGACCTCCTTTTTCATCAATGTTGGTGACACTCTGCAGGTACCATTAATGCCTTCACCCAAACATTTTCATCAGATACTACTATTCCGCGACCTCATTTTTTATATGCTAGTGTAAAAAAATAGTTTTTATGAGATGGGTTTTATTTATTTATTTTTAGGAGGAAAATATGACTGCTGATGAATAGGATAGGATAATAGGAAAAAGAAATGTTCTTGGGTTGTTGGGTGTGTGTGTGTGTTTTGACTTCAACTGTTTGAATCACGTGCATGACGTGTCGGTAAAAGAGAGTCTTATCCTTGGTAAAGAAAACTAGATAAGACATTCCGACAGACATTTTGATATGGGGGTGTGTTTTGATCTAATGGATGGAAACTGATGCAGGTAATGACTAATGGGAGGTTTAAAAGTGTAAAGCATAGAGTCTTGGCTGACACAACCAAGTCAAGGTTGTCGATGATCTACTTTGGAGGACCACCCTTGAGTGAAAAGATAGCACCTTTACCTTCTCTCATGTTAAAAGGAGAGGAGAGTTTGTACAAAGAGTTCACATGGTGGGAATACAAGAAGGCTGCGTACACTTCAAGGCTAGCTGATAATAGGCTTGGCCCTTTTGAGAAACCTGCTGCTCATTAACCGTGTCAAAATTCTACTCAATTTCACCACGTGCTATTAGGGCCACTTTACTTTAGCTCTGCGTCTCTAGCTTCCCAACACTTGACTCTAGTCTACATGACATATATAGAAAATGAATAGGTTGTTTATCTTGTTCTTCCTTTTATCCTCCTCCTTTTTTCTGGTTTGATTGAAATGTAACCGTCACTACTACCCTTTCCACTGTCAATGCAACCAAACTCTAGTTACACTTATTGTGTTACACGTATTATATATATAACCCTTTCTTTTTTGTCAAAACATATAATTTCAAGCAATATCTTGTTTTAATGATATTTTATAAATATGTCCCACTATGCATAATACTAATAGTATTGATTAAAAATAAATATTAATTAAAAAGATTATAAAAACAAAAATGAGCAGAAGATATAAATAGTACATAGAGGTTAAAGGCATGATGATGGGCACATTCTCGTACTTTGGGTTTTCCACCTTTACCACTTTGACGCATACCTCGTGAAGAGCAAGATCTCGTACCCCATCCAACGCGCATTCGACAAACCACTCAACTCTGCAGTGTAGATGCACCTTGCTGGCTTGCTTTCGGCCACTATCTATCTTCTCTCATTATTTAATATTTATGCTTCACAGTTTAAATTCGAAAAATAAAGGAACAATATTTATATAAAAAATTATTTTAAAAATAATCTTCGTCGACTAAGTGGCTGAAACTTTGAAAGAGAGGGGATGTAAAAAAAGATGTGGTCATTTTTAGATAATTCAAAAAGAACCAGCATCACGGAATTTGAAGGAAAGCAATACACAAATTATTGGCTTTTAATAATCGAAGCATAATTTTATATTGCGTTGTGAAAAAAAAAAAAATAGTTAATTAGTCTTGGCACATAGATAAAGCTGGATGAGATTTCATTTCGGTCATAGGTTAGTATGTCTTTATGACTATCATAATTTTTATATTTGAGCTAGCAAGAACTGTCATGCAAATCATTATTTTAATGAAAATGTTTTGGTTTAGGTTTAGGGTTTCATTTATTTTATTAGTAAATATATGATTTTAACTTCGTGTTGAACGTACATATATTTCTTCCATTGGCATATATAAAAGCCTCTAGTTTCTGATTTATTTTGAAAATCTAATTGATGTTCGCGTTTGATAAATCTTACCCACCATTTTCTTCCGACCCCCTCCTTTTTCAGTCTTTATATATACCTCATGTTGGTGTCGGTGATCATTTAGATTGTTTTTTAAAGTATTGAAATTGAAAACACTATTTTTGAGATAGTTATATTTGTTTAACCCACTCAAAGAAACTTATAATGTTGACAATCATCAAGTTTCTACGCTTTTAAGTTGAAGGTACCGAGTTTTCTGGACAATATAATTTCACGGTTTGAATATATATATATATATAT